GGCGACGGGGCCGCGAAGGGGCCGCGAGGGGCCGAGAAGGGCGGCGACGGGGCCGGTAGAAGTGGCGACAGGGCCGCTAAGGGTCGCGCGAGGGGCACGCCACGGGGCGTGCAGCAGACAGAGTAGCAGCGGAAGCAGTTAGGTGGGCCCACAGGCCAGGAGCGTAGATGCTCTGATAGCATGTGAAGAATCAGGAATGAAGAAGGGAGGAGGTTCACTAGCAAGCAGTTGAGTACATATAGCAAACCCTAAATTGGGCTGTACTCACTATTGAGTACCCCACTGCAGGCTAGACAAACATAACATTCTGACACTGGGTTCTGGGTGGACCTTGTGTGTGGGTGCCCAAGCGTGAGCTGGGCAGGGGAGTGTCGAAGAGAAAGGCCCCGCCCTCGCTTGGGCGCAGCCTGTCAGAATGTTATAATTGTCTAGCCTGTAGTGGGGTACTCTATAGCGAGTACAACCCAATTAGGGTTTCCTATATGTATGCCAACTGCTGCTAGTGCAAATCCTCCTTTTGTTCATTTCTCCTTCTGACTGCTGTTTCTGATATGCTATCAGAGCAGGTCGACCCTCCTGGGTCGATCCTGTGGGTGGGCCCCACCCGATGCTTCCGCTGCTCTACTGCTGTTGCGCGCCCCGGGCGCGCGACCCTATCTTCCTGCCGCGCGCTCGGAGCGCGCGGCGTTTTTCATCCCGCCGTGCGCTTGGGGCGTGCGGCGGTTTTCTGCCCACCGTGCGCCCCGAGGCGCGCGGCGGTTTCCTACCCGTCGTGGCGCCCCCGGGGACCTGCGCGCTGCCCCCCGTCGTCCTCCTCCCGTCGCCTCGTCGCGGCGCCCTGGGGGCCCGCGCGCCGGCCCCTCCCGTCGCCTCGTCGCGGCGCCTTGGGGGCCCGCGCGTCCCCCCCCCTCCCGTCGCCTCGTCGCGGCACCTTGGGGGCCCGCGCGTCGCCCCCCTCCCGTCGCCTCGTCGCGGCGCCTTGGGGGCCCACGCGCCGCCCCCCTCCCGTCGCCTCGTCGCGGCGCCTTGGGGGCCCGCGCGCGGCCCCTCCCGTCGCCCGTCGAGCCGCCCTCGGGGGCCCGTGCGCGGCCCCCCTCCTGTCACCCGCCGTGGTGCCCTCGGGGGGCCCGCGCCCTGCTTCTTCGTGGCGCCCAGGAGACACCCCGCCGCCTCCCTTTCCCTCCGTGATTCGCCCCTGCTGTTTCCCGCGCTCCTGCCTGCGTTAGGGTTTGGGGGTGGCGGGCATGGGGGTGACCGGTGTGGGTAACCTGCAGCTCCTCCTCCTCCTCCGTCTCCCACTGCTGCAGCTGCCGCTGAGGGGGGTGGGTGTGTGGGAGCCGAGGGTTTAGGGTTTAAGGGGGGTGACGGGGGAGTGGAGCTAGGGGTGCAGCAGTTAGGGTGTGTGTCAGGGGGTGTGGGACAGTTGGAGGAGGTTGAGTTGAGGCAGCCGTCGTGTCGTCCGCAGCGCCTGTATTCCGTGCCCCGCTTGTCGCCGGTAGCTCAGAGAGCCTGCTGCACCTGTCGCCCGTGGGTCCGTTTCTCTTCCCGCTCCTCGTAGCCGCCGAGCCTGTTACTCCTGTAGTCCAGTGCCCTCGTGCGCTCGGTAGCCACTGTGTGCGCGCTCCTGTTGCCCGTGTGTCTGCAGCTTCAGCCGTCGTCTCCCATCTTCTCTCCCTTCACAATTCCTCCTCCTCCTCACTTGCCCTCTGTGATCGCCTCTAGCTTTGCTTGTAATTGTGAACTATTACTATGCTTGCTCATTGTGCTGATTACACCCCACTTTGGCTATGGGGGTGTGTCAGAATGTTATAATTGTCTAGCCTGCAGTGGGGTACTCTATAGTGAGTACAACCCGATTAGGGTTTCCTATATGTATGCCAACTGCTGCTGGTGCAAATCCTCCTTTTGTTCATTTCTCCTTCTGACTGCTGTTTCTGATACAGCCGATCTCGCCGTCGACGGGAAGTTTTCGACGGTTTGGTAGAAGAAGTAGGCTTCTGCAGTTCGACGGAAGTTTCGGTCGAGCAGGCTCTGCTCGACAGAATCTGGTGGACGACAGAACGTGCAGGGTGCAACGTCCCATATTATGATGCTGGGCAGTTTCAGGGCTGTCAAAGGAGGAGTATGAGGGTGGGTATCATCTCAGAGAAAATATGCCATTCGTAATAAACAAGGGTCACTGCAAAGGGTGTATTCACGTGTTTGATAAAAAATTTCACGCTATCAGTCACTACTATACAAGGGAAAGTTGACTCGAATGGTCATAGATGAACCCCCCACTAAAAAAAGATAATGTGACATAAAATGAACCTGGATGCATTTTCAGATTGATCAACCCTAAACATGTTATTCGCCTGATGTTTATGGTTGATCCGTTCCCAAATTGAGTCAGCTTCCGACTGGGTTTTAGTTTTGTTTTAGGTTACTTGATTGGTTTGGCGTGAACGGAAAAAAAAATAGAGTTTCAAGTATTTCGGCAGGAGTTATACGTGTGATCATTCGCGTGAATTTTTGTGTGCTGTTAGTGACTGAATGCGCTAAATAATTACCATACCTGTTAAAGCTCTTGAAACAGTGACCGTACACGATATTTTTTTACTGTAAGCGTCTTTGAGTCTCATGCTTCTTAGTTGTGGTGTTATGAGTGCAATTGAGTGAGCGAACAAAGATTGCACTATCGAAGCAAAACAGTACATCGAACGAAAGAATGAGCGAAGATTATATAGCGAAGCTGGCTTAGTAACGGTAACGCGAGGAATTGGGGTGCGATACGGGCCTAGCGTCGAGATTGGGAAATCTCGATGCGGAGGTCCGACGCGCGGGTTACCAACCGACCCGTGACGTTGGGTCACGTCGTGAACAGTGGCGGAAACAGTGGTCAATGCGAGTGTAGCAAGTGGTAACTGTGCAGTTGGGTACAGTCGATGCTCAACCCATCACAAAACATTTGCTCCTCACAATAAGAAATTTAGTCACTCGCGAACGTTTTGCCCGTGAGTGACTAAATTGACCATTGTGCCGATTTCAGGGTATAGTCACCAAGTTGAGGAAGAAAAACATCTACAGTACGTAAACAACAACGGTTGCCCGTCATCAGAGAAGTTAACCTGGTTACAAAATTAAAGCCCTTGACTCGATTCACGTTGCAATTTCATATTACAGTCACATTTTTGCCCGTGGCGACAAGGGAGAATGTGGCGAAATATCTCAAACACGTTTCACGCACATGCCGCCCGCCTACCTGGTGTTCTTGAAATGGACACCGACTGTACTGTTGGCGGGCGTACGTGTAAAGGAGGCGTGCGAAGGGAATTTTCCTTCATGTGGTATATAGGCCCTGTTCGGTAGCCCAGCAAGTCATACTGCGGCTGGTGCGGGGGATCTTCCTCACCCAAATTCGAACCCTGTTAAAGCCCACCGAGTCGTTATTTGAACACCAGACCTGCCCAGTGTGACTTGGCTTCCGAACGCGTAAGAAACCCAGTCAGAGTGAGGGCGGGGACACTTACTACGAAATTGCGAGCACAGGCAAACTCGACCATCAGTGAAAGTCTAACCCATTTCTGCTTTCTAGTTCCACCCAGACAGGCCTGCTCCGAGTGGCATGCTGAAGGGTATACGTCTCGTTAGTGTCTTTTCGGGTCAAATTAATACATTTTGATCCGTTTATTCAAAGGTGAGAGATCGTGCCCGTTCATATTTTTCCTTTTTTCCATATCGAGGGGTTTCTATTTGTCGGGCTGATTTTTTGTTTGTTGATCGGGCAGCCTCGTACAGAAGTGGAAAAATGTTCTAGAAATTTCTTCATAAACACATGGTAACTTCTTGCAAATACGGACGAGACTTCCTTCCAGTGTGAGTGGAGGCCCGAGGCTACGAAACAAATCGTAGGCTTCCCCAGTTCGAGTGCGCCCAGTGTGACTGGAAGGCTACCGAACAGGGCCTTTTTTCCATCGCATCAACTCCGAGGGCCTAGGTGGAAGAACACCGCAGCTGAACTTTGGTCCACAGTGTGAAGGCCGCCACTGCACCAACAGTAGCTATTCACGAACCCAACCTGTAGCACTTGCACACCCTTGCACCCGGGGAGGAATGTTGAGTACTCAAGTTGCGGTCTTTCACAGGACCACATACGGAGTAACTGATGCCATTCTAGCTAGTGAGCGGACGAGATGCGGTTACTATGGCGTCGCCTGGCGCTTGTCGCGTGGTGTCTCGCTTGGCTGGTGATCGCGGTGTGGACGGCGTGGTTCACGTGGCAAGCCGCCGATAACCCGCGCAAAGAAGATCTTCGCACATGGTGCGCGGCTCGAACGCGATACGTGCACCAGGAATTCGTGTCGAGCTCGAATCAAGTCGAGGTGGGTCCTAATAACCATTTCCCTTACGTGTCTCAGTCAATGGGGGTCTGAGCCATTAGTGGCCTGTTCGTTGTCCGTGCCTCGATTTTAGGTCGCGGAGGACATATCGGCGGCTCGGTGGTGGAACCCGTGGATACAAGCGAAGCCGCTGACCGAAACAGCATCCCATCCCATCACGGGTTGTTTACCGCTCCCATGGGTTTCATGATACTTAGTAGGATGTTCGCGTGAACAGATGGTGGTATCATGGTACTGCTAGTTGTACTGTTCCGCGATGCTGGAAGTCGCGACGCGATACGGAACGCTATTAGTAGTAGTGTGAAGAGATAAGTCCGGTCGGGTGGCAGCGCAGGGTTTTGGGAGGTGCTGGTTCGGGGGAACGACGATGATGACTCGTCATCATCGGATGATCAAATCGACTGCGCATCTTCTCAGAAACGACCGTCTCGTGCCTTCCTACAATGCAGGTTCTGGCAGGGCTGGTGAAGGTGTTCATTCAACGGCGTATCCACAAACCCCAACACCCCCTCCTACTGGGTCTGGATTTGAGACGCCTCAAAACGCGATTATCTTTATCCCTCCCCACCCCCCTCTCCCCCACCCCCCCCCCCCTCCTCCCCTCTCTACAATACAATGCAGATCCTGGCCGGGCTGGTGAAGGCGTTCAACGGGGTATCCACGACCTCTAACACCCCGTCCTACTGGGGTCTGGAGGGCGGGATAACGAACGCCACGTGGAGCGCGTTCAGCGAGGAGTGGATTCAACGCATCCAGCCATGGTCCCTCACCTCGTGGGGCGTGTTTATCAGCCACGACCAACGGTACCCACCCACCCACCAACACCATCCAATCCCCTCTTCCACTGAGTTAACCATTTTTGGTGTTACTATCCGCACTTGGGCCTCATAGAACTTTAGCTGCATCGCTCCCACAACCTCTCACCCTCGTCCTCCTAAACTCCCTGCCACTTCTCCATTCCAACTTTCCCCCGACGCCCTCCCAAAATGGTAATGCTGCGTGCCCCTAACTTTCCTTGAAGCATATCATTTTGCCCTAGTGGGTTAGCGAGCACCGTGTAATATAGAGGTTTAAGGGTTTAGTTCAGTTGCCCCTATCAAATTTCAGGTGATAAGCTTTTGCACTTCACCATACGTAACCCTAATTTATCGTGGGCGCGTCCAGCGTATGATGCTAGCGTCTGGATGCTGCACGCTTCATCCTCGGGCAGCTAAAAATCCTTTCGGCTTGACAAGGAAACCAGGAAATGGGACTGCGTACAAAATGTACTGAGCTTTTTTGTTTTTGCGAAGAAAAATGGCCGTTGTAGGGAAATGAAACCACACTCACAGGACAACAGATTTAGGTTTCTTAGGCTGAGCGCAGTGACAAGCGGTTAGTTTTTGGTCGAAAACTTTGAAAAATGTTAGTTTGATGGGAAACTGCCTGGGCCCTCTGTTGGTCGAAATCATGTCCACATATTTTTTTTTCAGGCTGGCCCTTTTTGCACATTCTAGGGTTGCGCTCCATCTTGCTCGCTGCAAACTTTCGATGAACCCCCAATTGTGCCTGAAGTTCAGCCATCCTTATCCTTGTTCTTGTACAAAGACTGTGAATGAACGTGCTGGTAGGCTAACATACATTCAAGGTCATACCATCTTTCTCCCATTCGTGCGAATCTTGATCCAGACCAATGCATGTGAATCCTCAGCTTGTTGTCTTACCTATCCATAATATTTCAGTCGACTACAAAGCCACCTCGTACGTCTGCTCGGTGCTGTGATGTGAGAGACCCAGTCCAGTCCAGTGCATGGGAAGCCAGGCTTGCTGTCTCCTCCTCACCTGGCCTGCCCTGCCTTCTGGTCCCTCCCCTCTTCACTCCCCTCTTCCCTCCACTCCGCCCCTCCCGCCCGCAACTGCATGCAGCCCTGTGTTGGAGAGAATTCTCAACTGCACTGTCAGGACAATGCTCGGAAATGAGGCCCCTGCTTCTCCGCGCTATGTTGTCTCTGTCTTCCGCTTCCCCGCGCCTTATGACCTCCCCCCGTGCACCGATCTCTACTCTTTGCTCACTGAGATAACCAACCGGTTTCTGCTGTCGGGCGAAAATGTCGCTTTCCCCCCTTTTCTGCTGCCCAACAACCACATCGGGTTTGGTCCGTTCCCTCTCTTTCCACCTTCTCTCCTTTCATTGTGGTCCCCTCTAATGGGTTTGAATACCCCCATTGCTGCTACCTTCGCTGGCAATTAGATCATTCATTCCATTCAGAGCAAATCCCTCCACTCAGAAAATCCCTCCATTCAGAAAATCCCTCCATTCAGCAATTCCCTCCATTCAGAAAATCCCTCCATTCAGAAAATCCCTCCATTCAGAAAATCCCTCCACTCAGAAGATCCCTACATTCAGCAATTCCCTCCATTCAGAAAATCCCTCCATTCAAAAAATCCCTCCATTCAGAAAATCCCTCCATTCAGAAAATCCCTCCATTCAGCAAATTTCTCCAATCAGCACATCCCTGCATCTTAAGTCAGAAGAGCATTCGAGTACTTTCTGTTGTTTGCTCCCTCTTCCCTCCATCTTCCTGCAAGCCCCCTCCTCTAACTCACTTCGTCCCTGCAGTCCACTCGCTTCCTCTCTGCCTCACATCCCCTTCGTCTCCCTTTAAACGCCGCTCACCTCTCACACTCCTCTCGTCCCCGTGCAGTTTATGGCATCCCAATCATCCGCACGCCGCTGCCACCGCAGCCCTCCTTGGAGCAAGGAGTGGAGAGCATTTCAGGCGCTATAGCGGGGGCTATCGACACAGAAATGCTCATCTCGCACGCCCTCATGGACGTGCTCAACTATGGTCAGATGCCACACCTGGGGGCAAGGGCAGGGGCAGGGGCAGGATGCTGTTTGCGATCTGGTGCATGAGTTGTTGCAGGCCATGCCAAAGGCCACGTGGACTGTAGAGCTTGCTCACTTGCTCACTTGCTCGCTCACCCACTCGCCCACTCGCTCACTTGCTCGCGCAGCTGTAGATAGTCAATGGTCGCGTTTTGTTCACCGCTCAGGTCCCCGTCTTGTTGACAAAACTGTGGTGCACCTGCCGTCCGCAGTAGAAACCAACAAATGCTTGCTTGATAAAAATGTCTTTTTGACAAAGCGTCTTATGGATAAAGTAGTCTTGTTCTCATCTATCCTCTCCCATGCACCTGCCATCCGCAGCAACCAACAAGTACTCGTTTGATCTATATGATGCGACGGACGAGGAAGCTCCTGTGCTTATGTTTGGTGCCAACGTCAGCAAGAACTTCACTACTCTTCCTATAAAATGGATAACACCCACGCAAGTACAGCCAGGCTATAAGGTTGTGGAACCCTTCCCAGAAACCTTCCGCTTGCGAAACCTTCAAGCGCACTGCAGGTATTAACCTTCCTAACTTCCAGTCTCCCGGTCGTTTCTTTTGTTCTCTTTTACTGTTTGTGCTCCAAGTTCCTGGATAGCAGCAGATTCTCATTTCACTCCCCTTTCCCCGTTAATCTTGGTTGTTGCTCCAGGTTCCTGGACAGTGGCAGTGCGTGGCGGCTGGTGTGGGCGCCGGTGTTGGTGGCGGTGCTGGTGGCGGTGGTGGCGGTGCTGCTGACGCTCATCGTGGTATTCCTGGCGCGCAAGCAGGCGGCCATCAGCCGCGCCGTGAGGGAGGTGGAGCTGTGCACTGCCGTGCTCGAGCGCGCCCAGCGCTCCAAGAGCCACACCGTGGCCAACCTCTCGCACGAGCTGCGCACTCCCATCGTCGGCATGCTAGGTTGGTGCCAACATGTTACGCGTCGCTGGGTCAAGTTCGATCTCTTTCTGCTGGAGGAGGGGGTATGGTCGCCCCGAACAGTGACTTACCTCTGCTGTCTTTTCCGATCCCAACCACCCGCACCTCAACTTCTCCTCCTCTCCCCGCCAGGCATGATGGAGGCGCTACTGGAGAGCGAGCTACAGGGGGGGCAGCACCGGGACCTGGCAGTGGCCAAGGAGTGTGCAGCAGCCATCGTGGGGCAACTCAACTCCGTGCTCGACCTCGCCAAGCTGCACGCCGGCAGGCTCGCCCTCGAGACTCTCCCGCTCTCCCTGCACCACTGCGTTGACATGGTCGCCCGTGACTTGCTGCCCGAAGCCTGCAAGAGGGGCCTGCACTGTGAGTGCCATGCGCTCTTTGCCCTACCACTGTCAGTTGCAAGAGGTGCCAAGCTGGGCTGGGAGGTACGCACGAGCAGGTGGGTGTGCCGGCAGCACGGTGCATCTGAATGAAGTGGAAGCATGAAGGTGATGGTCGCCCCGGACTTACTGCCTCAGTGTGTTTGATCAGTAGTGCACACATGAAGGTGATTGATGCCCGAAACGCACTCGCGAGCGACATCTAGAACTATTGTCTAGCATTCTCACGAGGATTTCCATTTTTGTGTAGCTTTAGTATCAGATCTATCGCAGATTTAGTTCAGTCTTCTTCTTAGCCTTTCCACAAGCGCTTTTAGAAGAAGTGATAAGAACTGAAGGGAGGTAGCTTGGGAAGGTGAGGACAGGATAGGATCATGCAGTGCCAGGGTGGCTCGGGGCCATCATTGGAGGTTAAAAAAAGGTTCACATTATTCAATAAAAACCCCCTTCTCTGTGTATCTCGTTGCACACGTGCCCGTGCGCGGCAGTGGTGTGCCAGGTGGACTGCAGTGTGCCCGAGGTGCTGTTGGGTGATCCGCTGCGCCTCGCTCAAGTTGTCAGGGATCTCATCAGTGAGTGCTGCCTCACACCATAGCATCTCTCCGCCTTGTGCTTTTCTGCTCAAGTCAGCAGGGAGCTCAACTGTCAGTGCTGCCACACAGCATCTCGCCTTGTGCTTCGCCTCATGTCATGCACTCCGTCCTTCTCTCCCAGTTTCCTCGCTATTGTTGTTTTTGTTGCTGCGGCTGCGGCTGTCGTTTGTTTTTATGTCGCTGTTGCTGATGCTGTTGAGGATGCTGTGCTTGTTCAAATCTTGACTCCTCGTTTCGCAGTTCTCTTCTTTTCAGCCGCATTCCTCTGTGTCCTGCCCTGCCCGATGGTGTGCTCCGCCCATCCATCCATCCATGCTCACCCACCCATCCATGCCATCAGGTCATGCCATCCGCACCACCGTATCAGGCCATGTGGCCTTTAGAGTGTGCTGCATCCCCATGCCCACCACCACGACTCAGGGGGGCTCGCCTCTCACCACGCCTCTCACCACACCCGCGACTGCTGATGCCATCGCACCACCATGTGTTGCTGCACCATTGGATTCTGCTGCGGCATCGGGGTCTGGAAGCGGGGAAGAGGGAGCGCAGTGTAGGGAGTGGCTTGCATCGTGGCTGGATGAGGCATATTACCAATGCAGCCGCAGCAGTGAGGGCAGTGGGGCAGTGGCAGCAGTGGCGGTAGTGGCGGCAGTGGGGGCAGTGGGGAGAATGGGGGCAGTGGGGGCAGTGCGTGCAGTGGCACCACCATTCCACCAGCCACAGCGACAGCAGCTGCTGCTGCTGCTGGAGAAGAAGAAGAAGAAAGAGATGTGGAGGGAGGTGGGGCAGCAGTAGACGGCAGCGAAGCTGGGGAGAAGGGAGGCGGGAAGGAGGCGGAGCAGGAGGTTGGGCAGCTGCGAGCGGTGCTACGGGAACTGGAAGGGTGCGTAAGTCGCTTCAGTGATGCCTCTGTCGTGTGTGCGTCGGTTGATACTGCTGCTGCTGCTGATGCGGATGCTGAGGAGGGGTGCGGGAATAAGTGGAATGGAGGGGCAGAGCCGAGGGAACACGAGGAGGAGTCAGCAGTGCCGTCTGCATGGTGGGTTTGGAGGCAGTCAGCGTTCTGGGGGCGTGTGAAGAAGCGTCTTCTTGGGTAGAGGGGGGTGGAGTCAGGTCCGCAAAGCCCTGGTGGTGATGGTGGTGTACCTGCTCCTTCTGCTGCCTCTGCTCCCTCTGCTGCCTCTGCTCCCTCTGCTGCCTCTGCCCCCTCAGCATCTGCGCATCCTGCTTCCAATGCAACAACAGTTGCAGGTAGCAGAGAAGACCATCAAGCGAAGGCACGTGGAGAGGAAAGGAAGAGCAAAGAGGGAGAGGAGGGAGGAGAGGGAGCGGCGGGCAGAGGGGGGTTACTGGTGGTGATGGTGTGTGAGGACACGGGCGGTGGTATTCCACCGGAAGAGCTGCAGTGGGTGCTGGACCCGGAGGGGCAGGCAGCAGTGCAGGGCAGAGGAAGTGTGCTGCTGCAGCAAGGGGGCTCCATCAAAAAGCAGGCAGCAGTGCAGGGCAAGAAGGACTTGCTGCTGTCACGAGGGGGCTCCATTGGAGATCACAAGGTGAGTGCTGCAGAGAGGGGGATTTATTGAAGGGCAGGCAACATTGGAGGGCAAGGAATCTTCGTTGCTCCTAAGAGGGGGGGTCCAACGGAAGGAGCATAGTGTCTGTGTGGTGCAACCCATGTTATTTGCTATGCCATATGTCATGCCATTTGCCACGCCATGCCATTCCTTTTGCCATGCCATGCCATGCCTTTTGCCATGCCATGCCATGCCTTTTGCCATGACATGCTATGCCATGCCATACCATGACTGTTTCCATGCCATGCCATTGAGTGAATTGGTAAATTGGAACCAATGACTGTATTAGGAAACACGAGGGTGTACTTAGTTGAGCTAGGAGGGGGGGGGGTTGGTTGAGTTTCTAGCCAACAATATTGGCCCTCACCAATAAGTTGGGTTGAGGAATTATTGGGGTCCCAATAATGTTTGCCAAATCCGGGCCAACATTATTGGGGGGCAAGGATTGGTCTGGCTGGGTTCCCAAACCCCAACTAGGGTTAACCCTAATTGTGCACCCAAACATTCTTTGGGTGTCTTTAGCTATCGTAAGTTTATAGAATCACTGTAGGATACAAAAGATGTATATTCTAACACAATTCCTTAGCCTACATAGATTCATAAACCTGTGTGAGAGAACTTCACAACCCTTGAATCAACCACCGAAGGGAGCAAGCCCCAGGAGGTGCAAGAGCGCCGAGTGAGTAGAGCAGTGGAGGGTCATGGTGAAGATGTCGGCAGGGTTGGTGGATATGCCGATCTTGCACATGGTGAGATGGCCATCCTGGATAAGGTCGTGGGTGAAGTAGTGTTTGGTCTTGATGTGCTCGAAGCGACCATGATAAACTTCTTCTTTAGTGAGGTGGATGGTGCTGGCGTTGTCACACCAGAGGGTGAGACAGTGCGGTGATGAGCCAAGGTAAGTGCGAAGACTGCAGAGCCATCGTGCCTCTTGTGCCGCCATCGTGACGGTATAGAGTTCAGCTTCGCAGGAGGAGCCACGATGGAGGAAGAGCACTGGAGTGCCAATTGATGAGGCCGGTCCCGAGTGAGAAGTTGTACCTCTGAGAAGTGCGGCGGTCAGGCTGGGAGTCGGCCCAGGACGAGTCCCTGAAGTCAGTCAGAATAGGAAATCCGCGCCACTAAGGGTGAGGGCGTAGTCCTTCATGCCTTGGGGGTAGCGTAAAACACACCGAGTCGCCATCTAGTGATCATCTAAGTGCTTGCCGGCACCAACTATCCGCGCCAAAACACTGACATCAGGGCACAAGCTCTGCATAGGGGTCAGAGGGCGGTCGCGGGGGAAAGCTGATTTCGATGGCAAGCAGCGTGACGATGGGCTTGGCTTTTGACATATCAAACCTCTCAAGGACCTTCTTAATGTAGAAGATTTGAGAACGGATGATATTCTTGGCCTTGAGGTCGCGAGTGATCTCCATGTTGAGGTAATTGCAAACCTTCCCCAAGTCTTTGCAGACGAAGCACTGCTGCAGCCCATCTTTGACCTACTGCAGCTCAGCATTTGTGCCAACGGCCAGCAGCATGGCGTCGATGTAGACGAGGATGTAGAAAGGGGACCGGACCATCCGAAGGAAGAGGCTGGAGGCAGCTCGGGATGGGGGGATGTGAGCTTAGCATGCCACTCCCATGGTGCCTGCTTGAGGTCGTGGAGGGGCCGCAGAAGCTTCCAAACAGCGGATGGGTCGTGTGGAGCATGAAGCTTTTGGGGCGCTCCATGAGGATGAGCTCGTGTAGGTCACCTGGGAGGAAGGTGGTGGTGATTTCCATGGAGTGAAGCAGCATGCCGCGTCTGTCGACAAAGTCCAAGAACACTGGTACGACCGGTAGGGTAGGAGTGGATGAGTAGGTTCTGAAGAATTTGGAGCCATGCTGCTGCTGAAGTCTTTCGCTACATGTCGTGCCGTGTAGATAAGTGCCTTGCCAAGGAGAAGCTTCAGGCGGAAGTGCCAATTGCCCTTGACCACATTGGTCTTGGTCGGCCGAGGGACGTATAGGAAGGAGCGATTGCGGACGTATCGAGGCAGGCAATAGCCTTTTCGTAGGTGGTGGGTTTGAAGATGGTGGGGGCAATTGCAACACTGCATCATTGCCGGCCGTGTACCTCTCCATCCCTTTCCTCTGCGCTCCCCTCAAATTGAACGACCGTTGCACCAAACAGCACATCGCCCTTGCTCGTCTCAAATCACTGCCTCGACCATTCTGTTCCGCCGTGTGTATTCCTTCCTTTCCCCCCCTCACATATTTTTGGACATCTCACCATCTGTGTGTCTTTCCCTGCTCCCCTCACATCCCTCCACCAGCAGGCTCCACTTGCGTCGCCCTTGTCTCCCCGGCATCGCTCCGTGGACTTCTGGCCCGGCTCTGCTGCACCTCCTTCTCAGCCCTCCTCTGCGCCTGCATGGGAGCCCTACCCTGTTCGCTTCCTGCTCTCCACAGGCCTGGTCAGTTCGCTCCTGCTCTCCACAGGCCTGGTCAGTGAAACCTTACATCCGTGCACACCTGGCCTTGCCCTTGTTGCTTTTACTGAGGAGGTTCATCTGCCTCATCATCCCTCATCATTAAATAAGTGGACTTTGCACTTGGACTCAACAGTCAAGGATCTGGGGGAGGCCTTAACGTTTAAACTAAATGGTTTACACCGTTTCCAAAGATATTGTGAGAGGAGTCTTGTGTCCCTTATTCTCCAGCAACATCGTCTTTTTTCGAATGGATCCAGCATTTTTTCTTAGATGGTCGGAAGGTTCGCTTAAGGGTTCCTCTCAGAAATGATTTCCGAGGGACGCACACGGAACCCAACACGTTAACCGAACTTCTAATTCTTCCTTCCTCCTCGCAACGTCCAGATAACACACTTTATTTCAGACTGGTTTATCAACATCCATTCTAAAAATTCCATAGGTCAAGGTGGCTTCGCGATGAGATTGTTGGAAGCATGTTTTACTCGTGAGATCCTTTTACCAATTTATGTAAAACCAAAATCACGATGCGCGTGTGCATGTGTACATGTGTGCATGGGCGTGTGCATGTGTATGTGCACATGGGCGGCAGGTGAACTTAATGAGGGGGACCATGGGAATAGCAACGCAGCACCACGTGGGCACCTCCATCCTCGTCAGCCTTCCAATGGCCGCCTGCCACCTGTCAGAAACTGGCGGTGTTGCTGCTAGTGGCACGGGTGGCGGTGGTGCTGCTGCTGTGGCGAGCGGAGGTGCGAGCATGGAGGTGCAGGAGTGGGTGGATCATGGCAAGGCCATATGCTCGCTTGTGGCGGGCAAGACAGCGCTGCTGCTGGATGCCATGCCGCTCAGAGCGCAGGTGAGTTGATGCCATACCATGCGTTATTGCTGCACCAGGCCATCAGCCATTGGCCCTTTCTTCACGTGGTACCCTTTCCTGCGCCTGGATTGCTTTCCTCCTCCTTACATATTTCTTTCCCCTTATTGTGTGGCTGCTGTGTGAGCTGCCACCAGGCAACGGAGGCGTGTCTGCGCTACCTGGGAATGGACGTCACTCTGGCAGCCTCACCCGCACAGGCCATGCGCCTCATGCGCCACCCACCCACCACCACCACCGGCGGCGGCAGCAGCAGCGGCGGTGGCGGTGGCGGCAGCGGTGGAGGAGGAGGAGGGTGGGACGTGGTGCTAGTAGACGTGGACGTTGCTGGCCCGCGCACAGGCCTCCACGTGGGCGAAAAGATTCTGCGCCACGCGGCTGATGCAGCCGCTGCTTCTGCTGTTGCTTCCGATGCTGCCACGAGCTCCCAGGGTCGGCAGGGTGGGGTCGAGGCAGGGCGAGAGGCAGGGCGGGCAGTGGTGGTGCTGACGGGGGCGAGGGCAGACAGTGTGGAGAGCGAGCAGGCGGAGAGGATGGGGTTTGCGGCTGTGCTGCCGCACCCATGGCTCGTCACTCACACCACACACTGCCTGCAGCATGTGAGTGCCTGAAGAGGGTGGTGCCAGCAACCCTTGACATGAAGCTTCCTACCATCATCTCCTGCTCTCCATCCCAATCTGCATGCCCTAACGGTTAACATCCCTTTCCTTCCCCTCCTCCATCTCTCCCTCGCAGCTCTTCTTTTGCGCTGCAGAACAGCCGCCTGCCATTCCGGAAGGCAGCACCCAAAGTGCCACTCCAACCACACCCATCGCGACGCCTTCCTCTGCCACTCCCGTCGCCTCTGCCGCTCCCGCTAGTCCCCCCCCCAGACCCGCACTCCCCAGCGCCACAGCCGTGTTGTCTGTAGGTGCCTCCTCCGCTGCCCGCGTGCCTCAGTCCAGCACCGGCCTTCTCCGCTCCGCCTCCGTTCCGGCCGCCTTGCTCAGCCCTTTGGTGGTGCCGCGCCTGGCGCCGGAGGAGGAGCTGAGGGCGCTGGTGGGGCAGCAGGCGGTGGTGGTGGTGGATGACAACGCTGTCAACCGCGCCGTCGCCAGACGCACGCTGCTCGCACTCGGGGCTCTCGTGCACTTGGCAGCGGGAGGCGCACAGGCGCTGGACTGGCTGCGCCAGCACATGGCTGCTGCCACCCGCGGTGGGCAGGGGGGGGAGGGGCAGCAGCAACAGCAGCAGTGGCAGGCGGAGGGGCAAGAGGCAGAGCGCGCTGTGCCGCTTGTGCTGTTGGACCTTCAAATGCCCGACATGGGCGGGTGCGTGTGGTACACATGTCCTCCCTTCATCGTTTCTTTCTGTATGTGCCTAGTCTATGTGCCTGCTGCTCTTTTGCTGATAGCAGCTTCGTCTTCGTCTCTAAACCACACATCTTCACAAGAAAACAACAACATCAAAGCACAATCCACCATGCGCACCCCCCCGCCATGTCGGCCCACCCCCGTGCAGCTACGAGACGGTGCGGCGCATCCGAGCCATGGAGGTGGAGGCCGCCGCAAGTGACGCCCCGGCGGGTGAAGCTCATGCGGGAGGCAGCATGGGCTCGCGGCGGCGGTGGTGTGTGGTGGCGCTGACAGCAGATGTGGACGGCGATGTGCGGCGGGGGTGTGCTCAGGCCGGCATGGATGGCGTCGTCGCCAAACCCATAGTGCCGCGCGACCTCCTCACTGCGCTCAAGAGCGCCGGCTACCACAGTTAGTAGACCGGTGCATGGATATGTGTAGGAGTAGCAGCGCAATTATCTCACACATGGTTATGTGTAGGAGTAACACACATCGCCTATCTCACTCGCTTTCCACACCAACTGATGGTACAATCTCATCTCATCATTTTGGTATAGTGCCACGTACCCCTTGATGACTGCGTTTTGACAACGCACAATTCTGAAAGCACTGTGCTCACTTATATGTGTTGTGGTGTACATTGTTAGGCTAGGTTTGGTTGTATTGTAGAGGGTATGGGTAGCTACTAGTTCCCTCTTTATACGCCCCCTAAGTCATTCTTGGTACCGGCTTAGGTTAGGTTCTCCCGCCCACCTACCTCACTAGCTCCCTAGCACCATCAAGCGTCTCCCCCCCCCCCCCTCTATAACACCCTATAGCGGCTCCCTTCTAGCGCCCCGTCCATCGCAACCCCCACCCGCACCCTACCGTCACACCCTGCCTCGCACCACCGGCGTGCCCCACCGTCACGCCCCGCCGTGCCCTGCTGCCGCGTGCCCCCGCGCCTTGCGGCGCCCGCTGCGCGCCCTGTCACACGCTCCCTCGCCCTGCCGCGCCTTGACGTGCCCTGCTGCCGCGCACCCGTGCGCCCCGCCACTTCTACTGTGCTTGGCACGCCCGCGGCCGTTGAACCTGTTGCGGCTGCTGCTTCTGCGCATGTTGCTGCGCCCATGTATGTCGTCGTTCGCGCTAGATGCGCACGCGCCGCCGCCGCCCGCACTTGTCGTGTTTGTCAGGTGTCGCCCGCACCTGCGCCCGCGCGTGTCACCACGCCTGCCGCCACAGCGCCCGCACCTGCTACGTCCGCGTCACCGCCTTTTGCGACGCGGCCTGCCGCCCCCGCGCACGCGCCTGTGCCCATGCCCGCGCCTACCACGCCTGTCGCCATGCCTGTTGCAACCGCACGTGCTACTACTCGACGTCCCCAAGCCTTTTGCGGCCTGCCCCAACTTTCTCCTCCTCCGCCTATGGCTGTCCCCTCTCACCTGATTCGGTTGTGCCCCTGCTCTTTCCTGCCATAGCATCCGAGTTTGTGCTGCGGCTCGATGTGGGGGGGCAGGCGATCGACGTCTGATGTACGCTCACGTGTTGGGTAAGCTACCTGCACCCGAGCGTCCTCCTGCCCTTACTGCTGCTTCCACTTCGATGGGGCAGGAGGCTTACCGCATGGCCCAGCTTGCGTATTCGGTTTGGGTGTCGTGTGACACTATGCGCGACTGGCTCTTAGTCGCCTCGTGCCTCCGGTCGAGCGAGTGCACTTTCGCCGGGGCATGATGACGAAGGAGTGGCTGGATGGTATTGCTGCTCTCTACTCCAACCCCTCCTCTGCTACTCTATAGCCCCTAGTCATCCCTTTCCTCTTCCCTGATCTCCTTCCTTTCTCTAATGTCCTTGACCTCATTACCCAACTGCGCTCGCTTGACGTTAGCTTCCATTCTACTTGCACTACTGACGACCTTGTTGAGCCCCACCCATGTTTCTCACCTTGCACCTCCTCGCGACCCGCCTCCCTGACCGACGCGCACCTGCCAGCGATGCGCTCCTCGCCATGCACCCCATGCGCCTCACTAGCGATCTATTTGAGACCAGTCTCATTGATAAGGAGACCCGACTTCACACCATCGCCTCCACCATTGGTGCAGTAGTCCCCCTATCTTTGAGAGTTGTGCACCGCCCCAGCTCTCTACCTCAGCTGCTGTTGCTGAGCCTATTACGATAGCGGAGGTCGCAACCGTCGCTGCCCCCTCTGGTGGGCGGGCCTGACGCAAAGGTGGTCATAGTTGGGAGGAGGTGGAGGTGCTGGTACGTTGAGGGGTGCGGATGATGGGAGTGCTAGTTCGGGAGGTGCTACCGCAGGAGGTGCTGGAGTGCGACGGTGATACCGCAGCAGCAGCAGCCGTAACACCAGCCGTAGTATCAGCAGCAGTAGTAGCAGCATCAGATCCAACAACTTGTCTCCCAGCTGTAGTGGGAACCTACTGGCTCGGAGAGCATTGGTCGAGGGGGGGGGTCTGCCCGCTGAGCGTCGCGTGACCCCCCACCAGGCCCAACCACTAATAGATCCTGTCTAGTCCTCTACGCGGCACCTTCTCTGAGTGAACCTGCCATGTCCGGTTGTCCTCTTTGGCTCCCTAACAGGTTTTTACTTCCTCTCGTTCTCCAAAAACTTGGTGGGTGTCTGTCGTTTTCAGGACATGGGTGTCACCTAGACGTTTCCTCCAGCCCCGCCTGCGCCTCATCCGTCGTCACTTGCTGTCTCCTCTCCTCCGTTCTCAAACTTTCTCTTGGCCACTCGCCTTATGGTCTCTCGTGTCCTTTCCACCCTCATTACCGGCCACACAGCTCCTCCTCCGTCCTTCTCAACTCTTGTCACTGCCGTCGCTGGCTTTGTCTCCACCCGCCGCCTTGACTAAACCACGCAGTTGATCTCTGCACATGCCCGTCCTGCACTTGGCATTGACGTGCTGGATTTATTTGCGACTGTTGTTCCTCATCCCTACACTATGCTGCCAGTCCTGGAGGGTGGGACGCTCCATAGACGGATGCGCCCTACTTGGTGGATATGCGGGTGTAGAGGTTCGGTCAGGCCGCGTTAGATCTTTTATCGTAGTGCGTTCCTACATTTTGTGCTCTCGTTTTTTTTATTCCGTCACACATTCACTCCCCTCCCTTTTCACCCCGACTATTTCACTCACTTTCATTCTTTTCTCTAGCTACGTTTTGCTCGTGAACCGGGCTTGCTTGTTTGAGGAGCTTTGTGGTCAAAACGTTTTATGTTTTGCAAGAGCATCAATTGTATACAATTCCACAGGTATAAACGAGATATTGCATCATGTCTGTGGCAGATTTATTGTTCACTCCTGGCTGGTAGTGGCACCACAGTCAGCAATTGTTTACAAGGGTAGTGGCACGGGCACGTCTTCTATGAAGCATTTGGAACGGTTGCACCTGTTGCCCTGGAGAGCTGCAGGCCTGACCTGCCAGCCACGCAAGCAACCGTTGTGCAGTGCAGAACTGTAGAAGAATGTACGGAGTAGTACTAGACAGCACGCTCCAGCTTAGCCGTACAGTCTTGCTTCATCTTAGCCGTTTCAACGTGTCAGCGTGGCCCGCTTTTCACGCTGAAACAACGCGGTTGAGGCATGAGGTGAGGTATTAGCGAGATAGAATTACGAAACATTGATTTTTGAGGGATTTGGTTTCAACGAGAAGCTGTGATACGCCGCTGTCGATGTGCGTGTGTTGGGTTCTCGTACTGACTGCACGGCTGCCCCGGAAGTCTGTCGCTCGTTGACATGACGTGAATTTATCGCTTATGTCGTCCGTCCATCCCTCGCCGTCGTACGTGCAGAAAGCTTTGCAGCGCTTAAACGGGCGTGCGCAGCCATGGCGCCGCCGGTGGCAGGAGGAAGGTGCGGAGAGAGTGGCGCGATGAATGGAGGGAGGCGGC